CCCCCACCCACCACCCCTGCCGTGCCCCCGGGGGCGATGCCCACGCAAGGGGACGGTAGAGCTGGGGCTTAGCACCCCAGAAGCAGCTCGGCGTGGCACGTCCCAGAGGAGGACAGACCCACGGCAGGGTGCTCCGGGTGGTCGCACTGGCAGACTATGCAAGAGCCCCCAGGGGGGCTGAGCCAAGCGGCGCCTGCCCAAGTGCAGAGGAGTGGACAGCAGGGGGGTCCCAGTGGATGGACTCCCTGAGGCCAGCCCCCCGATGTCGGCTCCACTGCTGCTCTGGGTCATCCTCCTCCACTGGGCCACCAGCAGGGGCTTCGTCCGGGGGGGCAGGACCTGGCAGCACTGCACAGGTAGGAGCAAGGCCTGGCGGGTGGGCTGCGCCAGGAGGGAGGTGTCAAGACAGGTGTTGGCCATGCTGGGAAACGTGCTGGGACCCGTGTGATGTTTCCCGTGCTGCCAGGGCAGACCCCAGAAAGCGTGCTCTGTTCTGGGGGGGCACGTGGCCGCTGCAGGGTGCCTTGCACGGGGCAGCCTCTCCCTGGCAGCCCAGACCCAGGGTTTCGGTGCCTGGGTGCCAGTGGACCGAGTGTCGGGGTGACAGCATGGCGTGATGCCTCGGGTGCTGCAGCTGCCAGCACCCCACCTGCACCCATGGGCAGCGGGTAGTGGGGTCATCCCTGTGCCTGCAGCCCCTGGCATGGCACAGGACCGGGGAGCAACCAGCCCTTGTCGGTACCGTGGGGAGAGCTGTGTGCCCATCCCTGCGGCACGAACATTGTCCCAAGGTCTGCTGACCCTGGGGACCAACGTGTGGGGAGGGGAAGGGCTGGAAGGAGAAGTAGAGGAGAGCCATGAAGTCCCCCTGGAAAGTCCCTCCAGCCCCAGAATCTCCAGGCCTCCCTGTGCTCTGCCAGGCACAACCCACGCCCTCCCACCGGCAAAGCCTCCCGGAAAGTTTCCGTCCCGCTGCCCCCAGCCAAGGAGCTGGCAGCTCCGACAGCATTTCCCACAGGGAAGTGCCGAGAGCAGCCTGAGCGAAAGAGGGTCCCCGTCCCCTGGCTCTGCCTTCCTGTCCCCGTGCCACATGGTCCCTGCATGGGCAGGGAAACTTCAGCCCAGTTTTAGGGGCTGCTTGGGCCCAGGCTCCATGTGTTTGGGACTTGTCTCGGTTTGATGGCGCCTGTATTTACATTTTATTACAGCCTGTCTGGCAGTGAGAAGGAAAGCTGGGAGAGATTGGAGAGTTTCTGCCCACCATCTCCTCCTCCAGGTCCTCCAGTCTCTCTGGGGATGTCCCCGCTGTCCCCAAGCAGCCTCGGCTGGACAGGTCCTGGTGGTGTCGAGGCCCCAGCATCAGCACATTTAACTGCCCCCATGTTCTTCCCGCCAGCGCCTGGCCCCAGCTCCCGGCGCAGCCCTGATGCCGTCCAGCTGCGGGCAGCCACCCTGCTGAGCAGGCCACTGCCGGGCATGTGTGCTGCCCGACCTGGGCTGAAACAGCCCGGCTGCTCTCCCAGCCATTAACCACTGGCTCCGCTCTGATTGTTAGCGGCGACTGATGTGGGAGGCAAATTGGCATGCACATCTTCGGGTGTAGGGATCTGGTTTTGGTTTTAGGACTTGGTCCCTTCCTGGCCCACAGCCTCGGGCACAGCCTCCGGCCCCAGCTGAGCTGTGCCCTGGCTCATCCCAGCTGCCCTCGGGGCAGTCGGCTTCTAAACCCCTCTGCAAATACAAACCTGACTTCAGCTTGTGCTTTTTGCTGAGAAAAACAGGAACTGGTCATTCCCCAAGTCGTGCATTTCTGAAATAAGTCATTTCAGTTAAACTTCCCCCACCAAGGCTTTGCTTTAGGAGCAGCTTAAACCAGCAGAGGGGTGGGCAGGGGCGATGCAGAGGTGGCAGCATGGGAAGGATCTCGCCGGTCTCCCTGCTCCGGGCTGGATGGAGCCACATGAGCAGATTCCTCTTTGCTCTGTCCATCTGGGTTTAGGCTGGCTGGGGGTGCCCAGGGGGAAACACTTCCCCTCTCCAGCTGGTTTGGATTCAGACACATGCCAGTCCAGCCTTGCTCACAGCTCCCTCCCTCCTAGCTCTCCCGCTGTGCCACAGCAGCCGAGGTTTATTAGTACAAATAGGAACTAAAAGCCTGATCTCACTGGGGATGGGACAGAGCGAGGGATTTTTTAGTCTAGCCAAGTGCTGCTTCATCCTCTGCGCATCATCACCAAGTGCCTCTGCCCTTTGCTACAGACGCCACAATCCTGCCAGGGAAGCATTCAAAAATAAAAGCGGTGAGGGTGCCATGGCAAGGAAGGTCAGAGAAGCACCCACCACAGGTACAGCCCTTCCCGCAACTGCTGGCACAGGGCTTGCCGAGACATTGGACCAACAGCGTCAGGGGCACTGTTACACGGGGATGGCTTTGCAGTGCCAGTGCGCAGTGCTGTTCACCTGGGCAATGCCCTGGGGCTGAGCATGTTGTTTTCTCCTCTGGGGAGAGGATAATTATTTAATGAGCCATTTTGGTGCCTGCCAGGGGAGTATGTGCATGTGTGCAATTAGGGCTGGGTTGGGAGAGCCTGGACCAGGACTGGAGCAGGGAGCACCGTGGCCCACCGCCCTGGGGACGGGGATGGGTGGCCACCCTGAGAGCGAGCCTGCGGGCGCCGGACCCCTGTCTGCCCACCTGTCTCTGGTTGCGGTTGCTGGTGCCAGTGGATCCCGAGGAAGCTGGTGGCAGCCTGCGGCTGCTTGGCCAGCAGGTCCTGGTCCCCGGTCAGCATTTGGAGCTGCATCATTGGGACAGGTGAGCCTGCACACTTGGTATTCCTACTGTGGGGATGGAGATGTCAGCTTTGGTGCCTGGAGGGCAAACCTTCCCTGTGTCCCTGAAGCAGGGGATCGGCACAGAACCCAGGCAGAGGACAGCAGGCTACTGGGGCACGCTGGGCCCCCCTGCTGCCGTGGAGCACTCCGGCCAGCACTGGAGATGGGCTGGTTGCCTTGAGCAAGCCAGGCAGCAGAGCACCCCACAGCGAGGCGGGGACCCCATCCCACAGCAGGACAGGGTGGGATGGCTACCACCGCCATGACGTGCTCTGCTATCTCTCGGCACAGACCTGCGCCCACTGGACATCCTCTCGGAGGTGGTCCCCGCCGACAGGCTGGCCCGTGGCATGAGGGTGTTTCAAGTGCAGGGGGTGCGCGGCTTCCAGCTCGCCGCCTCGCGGCCCCGTGCCCTGGGCTTCCCTGCCTCCCGGCTCTTCATCCACTGCGACCGCTTCCCTGAGGAGTTCTCCATCATTGTCACGCTGAGGGTCCTCAGCGTCCCCGCCAAGGTAAGTGCTGCCGGCCGGGCATGGAGCGGGCACAGCCTGGCCGTGCAGCTTGCGGCATGCAGATTGGAGTCCGTGCCCTCCTGCAGAGAAACGAGTATGTCTTCACGCTGATGGCAGAGGAGAGCCCCAGCGTGCTGGTGGGGCTGCGCTATGCCCCCGACAAGCTCCACTTCCTCTTCTGGAGCCAAGAGCACACCGGCGGCTGGCAGACCCGCGTCACCTTCCCCAACGTCTCCCTCTCTGACAACCAGTGGCACACGCTCGTCCTGGCCGTCTCCGGCCAGTCCTTCTCCTTGACGGTAGACTGCAGCATCCCCAAGGACGTGTAGGTTGGGGGCGGTGGTGTGGCACTCAGGAGGGCTGCACAGAGGCGCCAGTTCCCTGGAAGGGTGACGCTCCTCCACAAGCATCTCCTCCAACTCCTGCCTCTTCTCTGTCCATCTGCAGGGTGGTGGAGACGCCATTTCCAGCCTCTCTGTCGGTGAAGAGAGCCAGCTTCTACCTGGGCAACAGGAGGAGAAGAAAAGGCCTGTTCACGGTAGGTGTCCCACGGTGTGGGACTGCTCAGGGGTGCTCGTGGCTGGCCGTGGAGCGACCTGCAGCCCCCTCTCAGCCCCCTACGCTGGCAGGGCTTGGGCCATGGTGCAGGCAGCAGAAGTGGCCATGGGTCCTGCTGCTGGACTCATCCACATCCGTCTGTGGGCTTGCAAGGGGCAGTGCTGCAACTGGCACTTTGTGGGACAAATGTGTTTTTAAGAGGATGTCAGCGGTGCTGTGGCAGAAAGACAGTTGATGGCACAGTCTTGTTGATATAAAAGTTAGGGCAGTGCCTGATCCTGACCAGTAGTGAAAAGCGGAGGCAGTGAAAGCCATCTGCAGCTAATGGGCCCTTTGCCAATGCTCCCAATGCTCCAGCTGTTAAATTGCCCGGGATGGAGATTTTGGCAGGCTGGGCATGTAACGAGGATCTGATAAATGTGTGTGAATCCCGTGGAGGCTTCCATAGACTGGGAGGGAGGGCAATGAACAAGAGTTGGGAGGGAAATGCAGACCATGAATCACCTGCAATTTCCAGGTCTTGCTGGACTTGCTCTCCATCCTACTGCTCCTGCTTTCCCAGGGCTTGCTGAGACAGCTTGTCCTGCTGCCAGGAGCCGATGCCACCCCTCGGATATGCACCACCATGAACTTTAAAGTAGCGACACTCTCTGTCCCTGCTGTCCTCCAAGATCTCCCTGTGAAGCCAGCGAGCAACGAGGTGCTAAAATACCCCTACGGTTAGTAACTCCCCACAGCACAGGCTCAGTTGGCTGCCTTCTGTGTTTGTTGAGGAAGGCTTTTTGCATGGGGCTGGGCACAGAGCAGGAGCAGAGGGGAAGAGGGTGTCCCCAGCACCCTTTGTTTCTCAGCGTGTGTGGGGTGGGATCCCTGTCCAAAACCCCCAGGAGAGCCAGGGTGCCTCTGCCTGGGTCCCTTGGCAGCACTGGGCTCATGCCAGTAGCCCCACGGGTGCTAGCCCCCAGGGTTTTCTCAGCTGGTGGCTTCCCAGCTCGGTGCCAGGATGCCGTTTCCCCCATACCCTGGTGCCCGTCATCAGGATTGGACCGGGACATCCAGCCCTCCCTGTGTGCACGGGGATGAGACTCACTGCTACTCCGTCATGTGCGCTAAGAGGCACCTGCCTTGCTCCTTTCCGTGCCCAGAGACCGACACGAAGGTGACCCTGGGGTCCCGTCCACCCTGCACCAAGCAGGAGAAGGCGCAGTTCTGGTTCAACGCCTCCCAGCGAGGGCTGTACCTCTGCAATGGCAGCGCCTGGATTTCCATGCTGGAAGGTACTGGTGTGCAATGTGCTCTCGGGGATGGAGGGAAGATCTTGCAGCAGAGGAGGAACAGACATTTGCCCCTGACAGCACTCTGGAGTGAGAACCAAGTCAGGCAACACCGGAATGAGGGGTCTGGGGTGTCCCCCTGCCTCTTCTCTGCTTGGCTGGGCTTTGCTTTGTTCTTGGTGCCCACATCGACATTTCCAGTGCAACTCTGGATTCAAGCACCCCTGTGAGCCAGCTCCCTGATCATTCACACAGTGCCTTTGTTGTCCATCCACCTTATCCATGTTGTCTGTCCCTCCTGGGGCTTCTCTGGTTAGGCACAAGCTCCTGGTCTGTCTGAGCGGAACAGCTCACCCCAAGGAGAGCCATGCCTGGGGTGCTGGCATGCTCCCTGTGCGGGATCCCAACGGCGCAGGTGCTCCCAGTGCCAAAGCGCTTGCGAGGTGGACAAGAAGGAGCAGAAAGGCTCATCAGCTGCCAGAGATACCCGAGGGAGCGATGGGAGGGTGGCAGAGGCAGGTTCCCATGTCGTCCCAGCTCTGGTGGCCTTTGTGCAGAAAATAGTGGGGCAACATTGGAGCAACAAACTGGCAAAGCAACCAGAGCCTGAAGGGATGGATGTTATTCAATAATGAAATGGATGTCGTCCACTGGCACTCTCCCGCTCGCTCCAGGCAGTCTGCCCAGGATCCCTGGTGAGAACATGGAGGATGAGGCATGCCCACAACCAAGCCGTCCTTCCCACCTCTCCTGGGGCTTTTCTTATGCTGGTGCCCATGTGGTGTGTTTGGATGAGCCATTTGCTCCCCACAGGAGCTGGCAGTGGCTGGACTCCTCATCCTTCCCTGCCTCTGGAAGACATGAGGATTGGCACCATCTCCTTGTTTTCCCAAGGAGACCTCATGCTGGGATCTTGCTGACCTGTGCCCCTTGGTGCCACGAACACTAGTCCTTCTTGTAGCCCTTCTCCTGCCATTTGTCCCTTCCAGTGCCCACCCATTTGCCATTGGGACCAGTCTTAGCCCTTCTGTTCTAATTTCTGGCATTAATTCTGTCTAAGTCTTCTCTAGCTTCTTCCAGAGCTCATGCTGACTCCAGCCAGAGAAAACATCTGGTGCAGGGCTGCTGCAGGTGGGTACGGGTTAACCCGGCTGGTCTCAGCAGCCCAGGCCCTTTCGCTGTAGGTCTCCTTCTCTCCTCTTCATTCTCTTTAGGATAAATAAATCAACCCACTTCATTAGAAGCAATCAAATTCCATGTCATGTCATTCTTCCCCCCCCTCCCAGAGGAGACTGCCCGTCAGAGCATTTTGCAGCCCTGCCCTCTGCCGGAGAAGAGCAGGGGTGGATGGGACTGGATTTGCTGCCCAACGAGATGGAGTCAGGCCTTTTACCACCCCCTCGGGTTTTGGCCCTTCACTACCAGCAACACCACAACCTTCATTTTTCCCCCATAAAGCTCCATACAGCAGCAAGCACCACTGAGCCAGCTCTGCTATGCAATGTGGGGCACCTCTCCAGGCAGAGTAGTCTCGTTTTAACCTCACCCCTCTTTTTTTGTGGTCTCCTAGTCAAACAAAGGCTGGACTATGTGGAGGAGTACCAGAACCTGGTGACCAACTCTGAGACGATGGGAGTTGAGGTCTTCACCATCCCAAAGGTGGGACTGTTCGCAGCCACTGCCAACCGGTACACCCCCCCGGGATCAGCCATCTATAAGTGGACTGATGGGAAGTTTGTGCCCTACCAGAACATCCCCACCTACCAAGCTCAGTCCTGGAAGTATTTCACCATAGGAAAGAAGGTAAGTCTGCCTGGAAGGTTATTTCAGTGCCTTCATATTTCAGTATATTAAACTGCAATTTCCCAACACTGGCTTCTCCTCTGAAGCCCTGAGTCTCTGGCATGGTTTAGGGGGTGAATCTTTCTCTCTTCTGTTTTTGATGGGGTCACATAGTTACATGTATTCAGCCAGTAAGGGTCTGTCCTAGGGACTGTCAGCTGATCTGTGCACTACCCTCTGTGTTTTACTATTTTTGCCAAGACACCAGTACATCCGCCCAGGCCATTTTCCGCAACTGATGCTCACAGCGTAGGTAATTGAGTGTTGGGAGCACTCAGATCTCTTCCCCAGGGATCTCCAGGGTGTCTGCAAAGTCAGCCTCCAAAGCCAGCTGTTGGAGCTGGATCCTCCCATGTGCTGGGGTTAATTTCTAGCAGGCTCTGCCTGTCCCTGCCTCAGATGTAGTGAGTGCTGGTGTCAAAATGTCCTTCACGTGTGGATGTGCATCGTGCAGAGCTGCGGTCCAGCCTGGTCTGGGTGTGCTCATATTGCAACCTCCACCCTGGCACAAAGGCTGACCCCCCTAGGAAGCGGGTTTTGCTGCGGTTCCCATCTGACACTGTGAAGCGAGGCAGGGGTCACCCCAGGCGGTGGCTGTGGCATTGCTCTCGGGGACACACAGCTCCTGACATGGGAGCACAGAGAGCAAAGCCTTCTCTGAGCTCTGACTGTGGCAGGGGTCCTGCCATGCATAAGGTCCCGCTCTGGTCTCAGAGATCTGCCACAGTCTTAGAGAGCCATCAGAGCCCATGGCTCCCTCCCGAGACCCACTGAGTCCAACCTTCTGCATTTTTAAGCCCTCTTGCTTTTAAATCATTCCAGGACTTTGGAGCCATCTCTCCTCCCCTAGGCAATCTGCCATGGGACTTCTGCAGAGTATCTGCCTGGTTCCTCTCCCTGGGGAGCTCCACTTTGCGAGGAGCCCTGGGCAAGCCAAACAAACATCTGCTGGGAGACAGCTCTGTGCAGAGCTCCCAGGGGAACTGGGATCGTTCCCCCTCTGGCATGACCCGTTCTGTCTTTGTCACCAGACGGCGTGCAGGGTGGCTGCATCGCGAGCCACATGCTCCAAGGTACAGAGGGATGGGCAGAAGTCCTGCCTCCAGGCTTGGTGGCACCAGCAGCCCTGCTGTTTGGATAGAAATGGGCCACGTCCCCCGTTACCTGCCTGACTGTGGAGTTCTGCAGAAAACCTGGTCAGGCCCTGAGAATGCAGCTGTGTTGCAAAGCTGACTTTGGGCTCAGAACATGCCTGCCATCCCCAGTGCAGCACCTGCTCTGCAAAGCTCCAGCTGCACCCTCACAAGCAGGAGACAGGAGCATCCTTGGCTGGGTTTATCTGCTGATGGGAACCACCTTGAGACTCCCCAGTGTTAGTCTGGACCCACAACACCCCCTTGCAGCGATGGCTGTGGGGGCAGAGAAGACCACCAGGCTGAGGCGTCCGAAGTCCCTGTGGTTCCCGCACAGCAAAGCACCCATGTTGGTGCTCACCAAGGCTCATATGCTCTGGGTTTGCCTTCGGGTCTTCATTGAGAAAAACTTACTCAGGCTTCCTAGGCAGGGCGGCCTCTCCTGCACACCTTGGGGCAGGTTTTCTAGTTGGGGCTAGCCTTGGTGCTCCAGAACGGCTGGGGACAGAGGCAGGCACCCTGCGTGCAACTGCGCCTGCTTGGCGCATTTCTGTGTGGAGATGATGACCAGATCAGTGTTGCACCAGCAGCAGTACAGATCTCTCCAGTTAGCCCAGGTTCCTCTCACACATTGCAGGTGGGATGCACGTCTGTAGGTGTCAGCACCTCATTACTGCACCAGGACCTGCTGATGCTCTACTGGGATGGGGTGAAGAGCTCCAGACAGCAGCGTTGGGGTGTCCTGGTGGCTCCTGTCAATGGAGAGCAAGGGACTGCGGGCTCCTGAGTTGAGGGGTTGGATCCAGGCCTTTCTCTTCCCTCTGAAGCTGTGTTTCTGGAGATGGCTGAAGGGACTCCTTGGACTGGGGCTCACAGGGAAAGCTGCCCAACACTGGGGATGCACCTTTGCTGGAGGGATGTGTGGACCCACCACAGGCTGCCGCTGAGGGGGAGAAGTCTCCATCCTTGGGGCTGGCTGAGCCTCGGCTGGACAAAGCCCCAGGCTGGTGCTGGCAGGGTCCTGTCCTGGGCAGGAGGCAGAAGACCACCCCCACTGACTGTTTTCTGCTTGTGGGCTGTGTCCCTGTGCTGCTTTGTGGCCCAAACTGGGCCATAACCTCTGCTGCTCCATACAAAACACACGAGTGGTGGAGCTGGCAAGCCACACCGCGTGCTCCTGTGAGCCTGGAGACGCTCCCAGCCCTGCACAAGGTCATCTCTGCTGCTGCACACTTGTCCCCAACCCTTGCAGGGGGGTTTTCTTGGTCAGGAAAATGTTTTGTCTCAGGGAATCATTATCATCATTATTGTTATATCTGCGATTTTTCTTCTGAACAACCTTTCCTTACGGGGAAGGTTTGGTAGCTTGGGCCCCCCTCCCTCCCCAGCCTGTTTTTCCAGCACAGCCGTGCTCCCCGTCCCCAGGGCTGGTGAGGCGCGAGCAGCCGTGGCATGGCTCTCCCTCCGCTTCCTCCGAGGCTGTGTCTGTGAGTCTCATCACTGCCCTGGCTCTGTGGGCAGTGGGCGCTGCTGCTGCCGTGCACAAAGACGCCCACGAGCCACCGGGTCCCCGTCCCTGCTTCGGGTGTGTTGTGCTGCTTGGGGGCTGCTTGGGGACCCCTGCCAGCCAGGGTTGCCATGCCCCACACCGGCCCCACATCCCATGGACGCCTGCCCTCACTTGTCCCATCTTCACCCTGCCCGTGCTTGTCCATGCTTCTTTGAGAGGAGAAAACCAAGATGTCCTTGCTTGTTATTTTTCAGATCTTCCTCGCAGTGGCTAATTTTGAGCAGAATGACAGCGGTCAGGAGTTCTCTGTAATATACAAGTGGAGTCGCAGGAAAAAGAAATTCATCACATACCAGAGGATCACCACGCACAGCGCTAGGGACTGGGAGGCATTTGTCATTGAGGGGGAGGCTTTCCTCGCAGTGGTCAACCACAGAGAAGGTATCCAGCCCTTATATTCCCTACCAGCCCGGCTCAGGCGGATCAGACAGCCCTGGGGTGATGCCGGGGACCATGGCACCCCACCGCAGGCACCCTGCTTGAGAGCATCCTCCCGTTGCCGTGGAAACACTGCAGCTCCCTGAGCATCCTCTGCCAGCGCGCAGGGCAAAGCTGGGGAGTCAGTGCACGCAGTTCAGAGCGCGGTGTCCCTCAGGAAGCCCGAACCCTTGCAGACCCTCTCATTTTAGGAGAGAAAAGCACTCAGGAAAGTGGCTGACATGGTTCCCCTCTAGGTTTTTGACTGTGGAGGACAAGGACAGGAGTGGGGATGGTGTCTTTGCTGAATCTCTCTGCTTCTTTTCATTTGTTTCCCCAATACAACATAACATGGTGGGGTGGTGAGGGCAGCTGCATGGGTTTGCAGGGGCTGAGCCTTTTGAGAAGCCAAAGCTTTGGCCTTGTGGGCACACAGGAAAACCAAGGGAAGCCGAGTAAGAGCCTGCTGACATCCCTCCCTCCCTGGGCACCCTGTAGACGTGATCCAGCCTTGTTCCCCTCACAGGCCATGAGTTGTTCTGGGTTGGGGCATGCACCCCTCAGCACAGGAGATTAATGGGTCGATACCACAGCCCTGTCTCTCCTGGATGCTCCCAGCCAGGTTTGGACACCAGGCCAGTGGGCTCCTTCCCTGCCGTCAGGGCTGGCCCCTGGGGCATCGGCTCCTCTGGCACCAGGCTCAAAGCTGGTGGCAGGTTGCTTGGGAACCAGCTGCCTGTGAGCTGGGCTAGAAACTCCAGATGTCACCTGTTGGATCCCACCACGGCAGTTTAGATGAGACCTACTCCCATGGCAGTGGCAGCAGAAAGGTCCCTTTAGCAGCCATGCAAGGGTTAAGACCATCATGACCAAGCCAAACTGGGAATGTTCCCCTTAGTGGGTGGTAGAGGATCAGTCCCAGAGGAGCTGCCACTTACCCGTGTGGCCATTTCCCACACACCCTATTCTCCCTGCATCCATTCTTGCCAAAGTCTCTTCCGTTGCAATGAGGATTGCCCGTAAACCCATTAACTCATGGTTCTGCTGCTGCTCAGCCACCAGAAACACCAGCAGGGCCAAGCCAAGTACAGCAATGCTTAGCGCAGGGTGGAAAGGAGCTGGTGGTGCTCCCCCCCCTGCCCCGTCCTGATGAAGAATGGCTCTGGCTGGAGGGGATGTGCCAGGCTGAAGGTGCAGAAAGGTTTTTAGCTTTAAAGCCAGCTGTGTCCCATATGGACATGACGTCAAGATGCTTGACTAGAGCCCAGGAGCTGGATGGAGTATGTGCTTTGGTGCTGGTGGGCTCAGCCCAAGTGCTCAGTGTGGGGCAGGCTGCGGGCTGTGGCATTTCCCTCGCTCTTTCTGGAGTTTGTGCCATCAGGGGGTTCGGCACATGGAGGTCCCTGGCCAGCTCCAGCGCTCAGAAGCTGAGCAGGGGGACTTAGCAAAGGAGCGCTGAAAAACATCAGTGCAGTGCTGTTCCAGCTGTGGCACCCTCCCAGATGTGCAAGCTTGTGTGCGAAGGGTGACGGCAGCCCGTGGTGTCGGCAGCTTAGGGACTCAGCTGGGACTGGCCCCACTACACATGGCTGCCCTGTGGGACAGCCAGCAGAGCTTGGCTGCCCCGGGACACTGGCATGGTACCTCTGGTGGGCTGCTCGTGTGGGGAGACAGCACCTTCCCATTCCTCCTCTGCCAGGGGCTGCTGCAAAGCTGCCACTGCACACTCAGGAACAAGCTGCCAGCATGTTTGATGGGGATGGAGGCTCTAGGTAGGGATGGAGGCTCTAGAGTCTCTTTGGCTACTTCTTGGAGAGCAATAGGTCACTAGCAAACAATCTTGCAGTCTGCTGGCAAATATTTGCATAGCTGAACCTGTTTTTGGGTCTTGTTTCTTACTCGAGCCAGGTATTCCTTTTCCTCACAGTGCATGTCTATCTGTCTCCCCCAGGGAATAACCACAACATAGACAGCGTGATATACAGGTGGAACCCCAGGACAGGGTTGTTTGAAACCAACCAGACCATCCCTACCTCTGGAGCCTATGACTGGGAGTTCTTCACCATCGGGCCATATTCCTTCCTGGCTGTGGCTAACACATTCAATGGTACATCCACTAAGATCTACTCGCACATCTACATCTGGCTCAGTGGCTCTTTCCAGCTCTTCCAGTCTATCCTGGTAAGGCTTGGCCACTGATCAAACTCAGTGCCCCCTCTGGGTTTAGACAAGCCAGGGAATAATTACAGAGGTAGATGCTCTTCAGTCCTCTGGAAAGGTAGTGATAGTTTCCCACTGATTCTCCCATAGGGACTGATGGAGCGAGGTTTATTTTTTTCTTTGGAGGGTTTTAGGAGTAGGTAACTTCCCTGCTGCCCCTCCAGCACGTCCCCCTACACCTTGCAGCATCCTTGGCTTTCAAAGACTTGTCCACATCCAGCTTCTTTTGTGTCTTCCTTCTCCACAGACCTTTGGTGCTGCTGATTGGGAGGTCTTTCGTATTGGGGACAGAGTCTTCCTGGCTGTTGCAAACAGCCACAGCTATGAGAGCGGGATGCCAGCACCCTCTAACTTCTACGCCATTAACTCCTCCATCTATGAGCTGAACATCACTGCCCAGATGTTTATCAAATTCCAGGACCTCCTCACCTACAGGTACCTATGCAAAGAGTCAGGGTGCTCCTCAGACCACGTCCTTCCCCTGAGCAACCTGGAAGTCTCCTGATGGGATCATGCATGCTGCATGCTGCCAGGGGCCAAGACTGGTGGGGAGGGCAATGGGTGACAGGTCCTTGGCACCAAATCCCCGTGGGAGCTAGGAGAAGGCCCTGGATTTGGGAACAAGGGCAGATTTCCTTTCAGGAACAGCCTGGGAAGAGCAGGGTTTTCTATGTATCATCAGGGTGGCAGAGACTGGTGTGGGGTGGGCTCAGCCCTGCAGACATGCAGCCCCTTCCTCAGCTGGCCACAGAGGGACCACCTCACCTGTCCCTCTGCTTGCTTCATCCCCAGTGCCCTGGACTGGGAGTTCTTCTCTGTGGGAGACGACTCTTTTCTGGTGGTAGCAAACTCCTTCGATGGCTTCACCTTCTCCGTTAACAGTATCATCTACAGGTACTGCTGTGGGAGGATGGCAGGGTTGGGTGGTTGTTCCCAGCAGGGACAACCCTGCCGGGAGCCCAGCACAGGGGCAACCTCTGCGGGTGCTGGTGCATCTGCCCAGGGAGGACAGATAGGACTGCTCCCTGTTTCTGGAGAGGTTTCTGGGTAGGAATGAGAAGTCCCAGTGAGGGACATCCCGCCCTGAACCACAGCGTGGCGGGGGGGAGATGCCAGCCCCACGGCTCAGTTTTCCTGCCCCCTTTCAGGTGCCCAGCTTGTGCACCAAGAGCTAACTGCCCTCCCCGTGCAGGTGGCAAGGCTATGAAGGCTTCGTAGCGGCTCACCACCTCCCCACTGTTGGCTGTAGAGACTGGGAGGCATTTCACACCACCGAGGGCTCCTACCTCCTCTACTCTAGTGCCAAGGAGCCACTTTCAAAGGTGCTCAAGCTGAAAACCACCTGAGGTGGCTGAGACACGCTCAGCTCATTGCCAGGATTGGGGCGAGCTGGGCATCAAGGTGAAGATGGACCACAGAGCCCAGGAACGGCTGCAGCATCGGCCCTGCAGCTGGCTGGTTGTGTGCTCTGCAGGAGGGGGAGGAGGAGGAGGGGAGCTCCAGGGCTCCCTGCAGCCTTGTCCAGGGGCTGGCAAAGGGGCTATGACCCTGCTTTGGTGCTGTTTCTTCTGGGCAAGCTCTCCTGCCACGTTCCAGAGCCACATCCTACCCAGGGTGCCTGGCGCCCAGGTGCTTCCCCGGGCTCGCTGGGACCCCGGCACTTGGCAGTCTCCAGCCAGGAGAGACCCAGAGCTGCCACAGGTTGCAGCCAGAGCTCACACAAAGCCAGGAAAGAGACTGAGCAGAGCACGCACTGCCGGGGCGGATACGCAGCAGTGGGGGAGGAAACAGCATGTGAGAAATTGGGGAAAAAGGTGGCTTCGGGCTTGGGTCTGACCGCCCAGCGCTGGGGTCTGCAATGCTGAAGACCCATCTGGTTCAACATTGCACGCCAAGCTTAGTGTCCATCTTCAGTGGCCTCGCCACCCCATCCCACTGCTGCAGGTGCCTGCCCACCCTCCCATTCCACTGTGGCCGGTTTTGATCGTCCTCGCCAAGTGACGTGTATATTGTACAAATCCATAGATATGTACAAGGACCGATGCTAGTCCTTGCACCCATATGCATGAGGTTAGCAACTCCAGAGCAAACCTGCTGTGCATTGGGACCAATCCAGCTACCATGGGCATGGGAAAGACCCCAAACTACTCCAGGTGAAACTGTGGCCTCTTTTCTTTTCCTTGCCTTTGTCTGGGGAACTCTTGTGCTTAACCAGAGCTCTAATAAACTGTGTGCACCCAGCCTTCATCCCACATGCAAGCTGCGGGTACCCGAGCTGCTCTGCCCATGGCAGGGGCTTCCCTCTATTCAACAAGCCATCCCCAAGTGAGATGGGGCCATGTCCGTGGCCATAGGTGGCCCATGAGGACAAGGTGGCCCTGAGCACAGCGGGGTGCTGGGGTGAGGATGCCTCTCCACCTCCCCCCGCCCGGGACCCTCTGCCTTTCCCAACTGGCCCAGAGCATCACTCAGCCTTCCCCAGCCCTGGGTTTCCCGCTGGGGCTGGGCGACCCACCCTGGTGCTGGGGAGCCCACAGGAGGTGCCAGCCCCCAAGAAGGGGCTGGGGGGGACATGGCCTGTGCCACCCTGGGGTCCAGGCCCAGGAGAGCCGCCGCAGGCAGCCCCTGCAGACCTCCCTCCTCTTCCACCCCAGTCGCAGCTGCAGCTGGCTCTGCCAGGAAGGACCATTTCTTGCTTATGAAACAAGGCAGAACTCAGTTTGCTTCCATCATGCTGAGCCATAAGCAGCATCTCTAATTTGGCCCCGAGGAAAGGCAAGATAAGGCGAGATGTACCAGACGAGATGCAGAGGCACCATTTGGCCAGCTGGCCCCTGCTCGAGGCAGGCTGGGGTGAGGGTAGAGGGGATGCAACCTAATGGGAGTCACACTGATACATTGAATTTAGGCTTGTCTGCTTTGGGAGAGAATGAATTAGGACAAGCGCAACCCCCTTGAGCACCACCGCCCTCCCTGGATGCCCGGCTCCCAGTGCGGTGCAAACCCTGAGGGCTTTTCCTATGTGCGGGGCTTTATTGAGAAATCAAAGATTTGGGAAATCACCCCCAGGTTGCTGGTTGGCAGGCAGAGGCTGCTGAGATGCCGCACGGGGGCTGGGGCCAATGTCCTGCTCTCTGCGATGCCGGTCCCTCACTGGAACCAGGACAGGGTGACCCCACTGCAGAGTGACCCATCCTTCTGCACCCCTGTCTCCAGCAACCTCCGGACCCCACAAGAGCCCCCACCCTCATCTGTCTCCCCCCAGGGGCTTGTTCTCTCCAAACCACGTGGACCGTGAGCATGTGGCTGGGGCTGCTTTCCCTGTGAGCCCAGCTCTAGCAGGGGAGAAGGGGTCTGCATCGGGGGGTTCCTTCCCAGGAACCTGCACTCCATAGACGGGTCTGTGTGGGGTATCCCTGGCGTCCCTCCCCCATGTCGTTTGCTCACACTCAGTCCAGTATCACTGGGGAGGGCAAAGTCAGTGGCACTCATTTGCAGGACCGGAGCAAGCACTGGAAAAAATCCCATAAAGAAGCTTTGAAGCCCACCAGGTTGCCACTGGTTCCCTGCAAAGAAGCTGGGAACAGGGCGCCCCAATCCCGCGCTACAGGGCAGTGCTGGTGGTCTCTGCATGGTTCTGGGTGCTTGGCAGTGACTTCAGGTACTCCACGTGCTTGCAGGTGTCCTCTTGATTGTGCCGGACATAGCAGATCACGTAGACAATGACCATGGCGAACCAGCCAAACATGGTGATGAACATGGCCACGTCCGTGGTCCTCTGACGCACACTGCAAAAGTTGACACCAGCATCCAGGACCTGGAGCAGTGGCTTGCCCACGTACTCCTCACGCGGGGCCGTGTGGCAGGTGATGTCCTGGACGGAGTCGGGGTCCAGCTGTGCCTCCCACAACACCTCCTGCAAGGCACACTCACAGTGCCAGGGGTTGTTGGCCAGCCGGAGCTTGGCATTGAGCGCCAGGAAGGCCTCCTTGGGGATGCTGCGGATGCGGTTGCTGGAGAGGTCAAGGGTACGCAGCCCGGCAGCCACCCCTTTGAAAGCCGCCCTGTCAATCTTCTCAATGGCCTTCCTGGAGAGATCGAGTTCCTCCAGGTGGGAAAGGTGCCTGAAGGCATTGCTGGGGATCTTAGTGATGCTGTTGGCATCCAGCTTGAGGAACACCGCGTCTTTGGGGATGTCCTTGGGGATCTCCTCCAAGTGCCGGGAGCTGCAGAGAACGGCCTTCGCCCCTGCCCGCTCCGTGCACTGGCAGCTTGGGGGGCAGGAGCTGCCCCAGGGGACGCACAGCAGGAGGCAAAAGAAAGCCTGTGCGACGCTGGCTGCTGGCGTGGTCGTGAGGGTCATCTTGCACCCAGCCAGCTCGGCATGGCTGCTGGCGATTCCCCGGTGGCTGCAGCAGCTCCTGGGCAGCAGGGTGGCTCCTCGGCGCTCCTGCAGAGCCTCTCCCATTGCTGGAAGAAAGCAGTGGGTGGAGGGGATATGACACGGCATTATTTCCTGGAATGCTGCTTATGCATAATGTGCCCTGCAAAGCGGTGAGAGGCTGGGCTCAGGAGCCCGGAAAAAAGGGCAGAATGGTGCTGGCTACCATCTTTTCCAGGACAGCTTAATTTGGCTTAAGATTATGCCTTGGACATAGAGCTGCAGAGATTAAAACCCCTCCCACCCCCATGTCTGCACATACCACCCAGGCGGGTAAAGGATGCTGCGGGATGGGGGTGTCGAGACGGGCACGGCCCGGGAGCCTCTGCCCCAGCCTGCTGCCAATTGCCACGTGGGATGCAGTGATTTGCTGCTGGAGAACAGCAGCAGTAAATTCCTATCATCTCACCAACCCCAAGTGTTAAAAAAAAATGATGAGTCAGACTCCCCAGATCATCAGACTGGCTTAATCACCACCAGGTTTTTAAATAACAAGGTATGGAGTTCTTTTGCTTTCCCCATCTGGTCCATGAGCTGGTACAAGTCACGTTTCCAAGGGTTTTGCCAAAGCAGCGGGTTTAGAGGTGACTTCATTTTTTTAAAGTAAACAAAGAGTATGGTTTAACCACCTGACTCTGGGAGCTGGAGCTTAAGAGAGGAGCCACTGACTATCACAGTAAAGAGGGTGATCTGGGAACCCCAAGGGCCACCCCAGCCCTGCTAGGGGTGAGGCAGGAGGTGAAGCAGGTGGGCCGCCTTTCCTCTGCTCTTTGGTGCTACTCATGCCTCCCCTACTGCCTTGGTCAGGCTGGGGGGAAGAGATCCCCATGGAGGGGAAATTTGGGGGGTGGAACCCTGGCAGGGAATGAAACTGACCATGGTGATCTCATTAGGACACCAGCTGGGCACCGAGTCTGGTACCAGCATCCTTCTGATGCATCCCCCTGGTAACAGCATCCTTTAAGCACCAGCATCCCTTAAGCACCAGCATCCCTCAGGTATGAGCATCCTCAGGGTACCACCCGAGGGATGCTCATCCCTGAGGGATGCTGCCAGTGGACCTGCCCACGGACCTGCGCAGGGGTGTGGGACTGTGCAGTGGGACTCTTCCAGGGGAGATTAAGTCACGCTGCCTGGGAATCCCTCTGGCCCTACAAATGCTACCGGCCTCTGCCAGCCCAGTCTCTCCGGGGGAAACAAGGAGGCGCTTTGCAATGCTGGTTCCCCACGGCTTGCCTGACCCTGCTCCCGTCCCTGGAAGGGCTCTGAGGAGCCGCAGCCGCCCCCTCCCCCCCCCCCCGCCCGACCCCCGG